AGCTCCATGGCTGCCGGCCGCCATCTTGGTTGGGTTAATTTGCATATAGTCGCTCTGATTGGCTGGTGGGCATGGCTTAAGGTGTAGCGAAGGTATGGTCAATTTGCATGTTTGTCTTTTATTAGTGTAGATACTGGGTCAGCCCTTTCCTGAACCAATCATGTTTAGATGGGATGGATTATGCCAATTGGTTCAAGTGTAGGTCCCTGTGTTCCATCCCTGGGGTTGAGCACACCCAGATCATGTGGACTGAGACAAGGAGACTTGTGGATTATCCAGATGAAAACAGAGCCTGTGACTGGGATAAGGGGGAATGGATGCTGGGAAGGCACACCACAAATGCCCAGGATAAGCTCATTGCTGCATTTTAATTTTTTTTTTTAAGAGAGAGTGGAAAGGAGAGGAAGAGAGAGAGAGAGAGAGAGAGAGAGATGAGAGAGACACGTCGATTGGTTGCCTCCCACACAGGCCTGATCAGGGCCATGTGCAGGAGGCAGGGCCATGTGTAATCTGCAACCCAGGTATGTACTCTTTCCCCCCCCACCCCCCCACCCCCAGGGATGTACTCTTGACTGGGACCCTTTGGTGCTCAGGCCAATGCTCTAACCATTGAGCACAGCAGCCAGGGCTCATTACTGCATTTTGATCAGACCCTCTGTCTGCTTTCCTGCGGTAGATCACACAGTACTGTGCTTACAACACTGGCTTTCCAGTGGGATAATTGCATACAATGAGAAAAATAAAAGTCAAAATGACATTGGCTTTGGCATCAAAGTGACCTAGGTCAAGTCCTGGCTGTGTCATCATTGACTGTATGACCTTGAGCAAGTTACTTCCCTTGTCTCACTTTCCTCACCTGTTAATAGGGATAATATCGACCTACAGAGTTATTGTGAGGAGGTAATGAAGTGAAGCACTTGGTGCTTAATAAATGTTGAACTTCATTCAACAAATGTGACTGCCTACTGGGTACTCTGCTCTTGGTGCTTGGCTTAGAGTCCTGAATAAGCTAGCCCTGGTCCCTCCCTCCTGAAGCATACAGTTGTGATGATGCTGTCTATGAGGGAGAAGCTCGGGAAGAGAACAGAATACAGTCTATCCAGGAGGAAGAGGCTCAGAGGCGTCCTTGAGGAAATGGCATCTGAGCTGAATTCCAGAAGATGAGTAAGCAGTATTGCAGCCTGCCCTGGCCAATGTGGCTCAGTTGGTGGGGATCAGCCTGTGCACTGAGGGGCTGCTGACTCAATTCCTGGTCGGGACACAGGCCCGGTGGGGGGATGGAGGTGCTGACTGATGTTTTGCTCTCACATCGATGTTTCGCTCTCTCTCTCTCTCTCCCTTCCTCTCTCTCTAACAAATAAAAATCTTTAAGAAAAAAAAAGAGCACTTCAGTCTAATGTAACAGCTTGTGCCACCAACTAATGAAGAGAGGAAACACAGTATGTTTGTTAGGGGTAGGAATATTAATCGTGCTCTGTTAACCATGATTGTTAGCTATGGTTATCCTATCTAATAATAGACAAACATGGTAATTGACTGTACCTTCGCTATGCCTCCCATTGGCTAATCAGCATGATATGCAAATTAACCGCCAACAAAGATGGCGGCTAATTTGCATACTTCAGGCGGGGCCGGCAGCGCACAATGCTGCCCATGGGACCCGGGCCCTGGACCCCTGATCCGGCGAGGCGGGGCCAGTAGCACCCGACACTGCCCGGGGAATCCAGGCCTTGGATCTGTGACCTGGAAAGGGAGCAAAGCAGCGGAGAAGGGGGAGAGCCCAGGTGGCAGAGAAGGGAGGGAGTCAAGGGCTAAGCGGCGAAGGGAGGGAGCGAGGCGGCGGAGACAGGAGGGAGAGAGGCAGCGGAGAAGGGAGCAAAGCCTGCCTTGGTGGGCTTCGCTCCCTTCTCTGCTTCGTTGCGGTCTCAGGAAGCCCTATTCTTGCAGGAATAGGCCCGAGGAAGCCCTATTCTTGCAGGAATCTTCCTGCAACGGGCCTCTAGTAAGAAATATTAATGATGCTCTGTTAACCATGATGGTTCTGTTCTGATTAGAGAAAGCATATTCTAACCTGGCTGAGTTGTACACCCTGGGACATGGGAGTTAACCTGGGAATGTGGTCCATTCTCCTTATCCAATAACTGCCTATTATCAGGGAAAGATGAACAACTTTTGTTGCCAAAACAACAGAGTCCCAGAGGCGCCAATCCCGCCCCCCAACCCCTGCTCCCCACTCCCCAGCCTACATGGCCTGTAACCTGTAACCATTATACCCATTCTTATTCCTTTTGCCTACTTCCCCATGCCTGTAACTCCTTTTGCCCACTTCCCCATGTAATCTTTGCCCTTCTATCCAATATAAGCATCTGGCTATCGGGGAGGGGAGATTGACCAGATTTTCGTGGATAACATGCTTGTCTCCCATACTGCCGGCAGTATTGGGATAAACACTCATATATGGTTCAACCCTGTCTCTGCTTAATTGGCTCAAGTAGTGACAGGCAGCCTGGACCCATTGTTTGTCCAGTTTCGTGTTCAAGGAACTGAAAGAAAGCAGGCACAGCTGGGCACCAAAGCCTGACAGGCGGGTTTTGGCATGGCCACTATTTCCATCAGCTTCTTGTTAATTTTGTTAAGAACCTGGACCCATGAGCCCAACACTTATTTTAATGGCTAACGAAAAAAGAACATTCAAAATTTATTTTATTTACATTATAAAACATTCTGTTCCTAAGTGTTCTGTTTCTTCTGAATTCCTACCTATTTTACACTTGAATAGAAACTGAACCATTGCACAGTAGTTCTTTCTGTACTCTTGACCTTAAATAAGCCTTTCCCTTTAGTATTGCTTCAGAAAACACAGAACTTCACATAAATTTAATTCTTGCTTATCTGTAAGACAGCTGAGAGTATAATGAATCATGGCAGACTAATATCAACAAAAGCAAAAAAGAAAACTCTTCAGTATTACTCAATATTTAAATCCTAAAGCATTCAGGCTACTTTAGACAATAACCGGAATTCCCTGAACCGTGAAAACATCAGAGAATCGAGGTGGGGGGAGGTCATGTTAACTGAGGACAAAGGAGAATTAAATAGAAATGCATGAGTCCAAACGGATATAAATAAATAGGAAATAAAAGAAAGCAATTCCTTACAGTAGAATGCCAACTGAAAAATACAAAAGAAATTATGGCTTTAAAAAATGACCATTTATTAATTGATTCAGGCAAGAATCATCAACGGATGCTGAAATTGATGGGTAAAAGTCTGACAAATAACAGGATATTTGTACAATATTAAAGTATCTCATCACAAAAGACAGTAACTATAAAGGGGGAAATAGTAACCCTACTAAAAACTTGCACACCCCACCTTAATCCAGTGACAATGCAGTGATGTGCTACTGCTGACTCACCCCAACTCAAGAGAGGCGCACCCCTTCCCAATGTTGTGTTCAGTGATGACATGACCGTGATGGGGGTATTTGCACCGAAATCCACAAGTGTTACAAATCCAGGCTTTTTACCCCTGAGAACCAACTGTTAGTTATTTATAAGCATAATAACTGGATCAAAGTTACTTCCCCAAGCAAGCTGACTTTATTCGTGATAGCACACACTGCGGACACAGCCTCTCTTTTGTGGTATTCTGCCCACAAAATGAGAAATGCATAACCTCATTCTAAGGATGAGGAAGCATCAGGAAGAATCTAAATTGAAAGAGATTCTACAAAGTAACCAGACGAAAGGAAGAAATCACATCTAGAGAAAAATGACCAAGCAAATGTGACTAAATGTTAGCCATGGAGAACCTAGGTGCGGGGCATACAATTCTTGGTACTGTTCTGGGAACTTCTCTGTAAGTCTGACTTAAAAAAAAAAAAATTAAAGTTATAAGGAAAAAACCGCCAACGCTACCTGGTCCTTTGCCCTCATCCTGCGGCCCCGGACATCTAAGGGCATCACAGACCTATTATTGTTCAATCTCGGGTGGCTGAATGCCCCTTGTCCCTCTAAGAAGTTGGGGGACGCCGATCAATGGAGGGGGAGGGGTTGTCGTTGTAACTAGTTAGCAGGCCAGAGTGTCGTTCGTTATGGTCGAGGCGGTGAGGCCTCAAGGTGTCCAAGGGCGCGGTCACAACAGAAGCGAAGCAGCGTCCACCAGCCACAGTGGGCTGCCCCTCTGACGAGCACATATTCCTAAAAGACAAGAACCTTAGCCCTCAGATGGCTGACCCCATCCCTACCCACAAACCCAGTGTTGTCCTCTGCGCCCACGTTCCTCTTTATTTTGGGCCTTGGAGCCGGGTACCAGCACTCACAGCCACAGAGGGAAGTGGGGAGTTCCCTTGTGAAGACAGAATGAAGTAATGGCGTCTCCAAAAGCCTTAATGTCTCCTTAATGCTGCCTTTGGAAGCCTAATGCTTGTGGTCCAGGTGCTGCTGCTTTCCAGTGTGGCTGTGAAAACTTTGGCCAATACCAGCTCGCCACTCCCCCTGGGAGGAGGGTGCTGATGGGCTTTCCCATTATCTATCAATTAGCTGGAAGTTGAGCGAAGTGTGTTCAGTCTTACAACGCTGTTCTGATCTACTGCTCTCTGCTCGGGGAACACCAGGACACAGCAGGTGGTGGGCTACGCCAAAGGTACTGTGCTTCTCCACTTCCCCGTTGCATTTGCTAATGGAAGCTGATTCATAGGATGAAGCCATCCTATTTGACATTTTGAGATGAAGGTAGCAAGTTGCAGGGATAACAGGCTGAGGTGCTGTTAAGCCATGTTGATAGTGACTATAGCTGCTCTTCAAGTTTCCTCATTCTTCCTGGGTGGACGAGGAAGGTTATTGCCCTTGTCTAGCACAGCACCTGGCACATGGTAGGTGTCTGATAAATACCAATGACTTTATCATGCTCTGCACATCCTGTAGAACTGGAGTGCTCACTCTTCCATCCCCGGTTAATCTGAAAGTATTGTTGCCTGTGTTGGCACTGCTGTCATTCTTTAAAATGATATTTTGTCTAATAAACTCTGTGTTCTTACTGTTTGTGGGAGAATTCTGACGTTCCCAATGATCTCAAATGCTGAGCAGTGAAAAGAGACTGAAAACATAATCATGATCTGTTTCACTCTGTATTCATGGAATCTGATTATGACTCTTTATATATTTTTCTTTTACCCCCTCTACACAAAATGAAAGGATCCCATGATGAAAAGGGTGAAGAAAAGGTGACTTTATTTCAATTGAGCAGACAGACATGACAAACAAATGAAGACAGAACACATAATCAAAAGGATATTGGGAGCCCGGCCAGTGTTGCTCAATGGTTGAGTGTAGACCTATGAACCAGGAGGTCACAGTTCGATTCCCGGTCAGGGCACATGCCTGGGTTGTGGGCTCAATCCTCAGAGGGGGATGTGCAGGAGGCAGCCGATCAATGATTCTCTCTCATCATTGATGTTTCTATCTCTCTCTCTCTCCCTTCCTCTCTGAAATCAATAAAAATATTATATATATATTTTAAAGTATATTGGGAGAAGATAAATGGACTCTTTTTAATGATTCACAGCAACCTCATTTATCCCCTACTGTTACTAGAGAGAAAAATGTCATCAGATAACCAGTGGTCAGCAGATGAGGACGAAGGTCAATTTTCCCGGCTGATCAGGAAATCTAGAGACTCCCCCTTTGTGCCTGTAGGTAAGTACAAGCCTTGACTGGATGCTGGAAAACTGTTTGTAATCGTACAGTAATGCTTTGCCCAGTATCTTGGAGGATTGAAATGTTTTATGTAACTGATTTTTTTTTTCAGATAATTGAAGCTAACCCCTTCTAAGCATAAGCTAAACTTTCAGAAGTTTCTAGTATATGGTGAATCCCCAGTAATGGTTAGCTATTATTATTATGGAGCATCAGATTTTATTCTGATCCATCTTCATTAGAGGGTTAAATAAAATTATTAGATCCCAGCCAATCTAAAGGGAATTAATTGAGTGGACTTTAATTTTCTGTGATGACTCAGTAGCACAGAGAGTCTACTGGGACTATGATGATGGGTAGGTCCCTCCGTCCTCTAAGCAACTCCAACTTTAAATTCTTGTGTCTGATGTTTACAGATTTTTGTTTCTCCCATATTATTGGATACCATAAAAAACTTCTGCCTCTGATGTTCTCTGGCACTAGAAGCTAGATACCTAAACTTAAAAGAACTATGAGTCAATTCAGAGAAAAGAAGCTCTGAACAAAAGCCTGGGCTTACCTGTACACCCGAGAGCATGAACTATGTGATATTCATGCTCAGCGACCCTTTTTCCTGGCTTCCTCATCTACTCCAGATGTTGAGGTTGATGGTTAAGTAGTCTCTAGATTAAAGAAGTGTTATTATAATTAGACCTGGAGTCTTGGCCTCTTTATCCTTTCCCAACACATATTTAGTATGTTTACATTTTCAACAAATACTACATGTATGTAGGGTTAAAAAAAAAATTTAGGCCCCAATATTGTTTTTTAAAATCGAAGCTTTCTCTTCTCTTTTGGATGCTTCAGCTGCCTTAAGCATTATTATTGTATACGGCAGCCATGCCTCTTTCCTTAAAACTTTGGAAACCATTACAATAACCTATTTAAATTAGACTTACATAAGTTTGTGATTAATTCCATAAATCCTTCTAAGTAGGTATGTCATGTTTCCATTGTCACTGTAAGTCTAGCAACTTCATGTGATTATTCACATATCAACAAGAATTAAAGTTTTACTTTATAATAATATTGTGTTTAGAAGTTTCATTAATTTGAATGACTTGTAATAGCACCCATAACAAATCTAAGAAAATAAATTTATAGTGATTTATTCACCCTCCTTAGCATTTTTAACTAGAAAAACAATTCAAGACTTCGATGCCACCTGCACAGATCACTGTAATGAGCAGGATTAGTCACTCTGCCTGCCATAAATTAAATTATTTTCCAGACACATTTAAGGTGATTAAAGTAGAAAGATTAAAGTGTTTCCAGGTAAATTCAATTATATACAAATTACAGAGACACTATATGGAAAACAGTAAAGGTTCTGACTTTAATCTCTAAAAGAAACAAAATCAATTTAAGTAAGAACAGAACCTTGATTTGATAAGGGAAAAGAACCAAGTTTTTGCTAGAAAAATAATTAATGATAAAATTGGGGTATATATTATTGAGTAGTTTGTTTAGCTATTGTTATTTTAATAATATGTATTTCCTGCTATAGGATAGAGTGTCCAGTGCAAATAATTTACAAAACATTTTTTGTTATCTTCAACAACTTCCATCATTATAATCTATTTCTATTGTTTAGAATGGTCCTATGATCTTAAGACCTGTACATATATTCTGTGCATTTAAACTATGTTGATAGATTGTTTTTGCTTCTTTCACTTAACATTTCATATGTACATTTCTGTGTATTAGTACTTTCTGTACTTACAATTTTTTTATAGCTATGACAGATATTCCTTTGTTTGAGCTATTTGGGCTGTTTAGTTTTTCCTCATATATAATGTAGCCATAAAATCTTTGTGTCAACTTCCTAAATTTTCTTTTGCTTATTTCCTTGGAGTATGTTCCCAAAGGTAGAATTTCCAGAGCAGGAAGCATGTTCAGTTTAATGTCACTTATTATATATTTCCAGAGTTCTTTCCAGAAAGATTTAGCTAAACTTACAGAGCTTTCATGATGGTACCATCTCTTAATGTGCCTACCATCATCATTTTATTAGTATTTGCTTTTTGCTGATTTATATTTGTCATCATTTTTATTTCAATTTATTTTTATATTTTACTTTTTTATCTTTGCTGTTGAGAATATTACAGATGTCCCCTTCCTTTCCCCCATTGCTTCCCTCCACCCGGTTCCCACCCCACCTGACCTTCACCACACTATTGTCTGTGTCCATGGGTTATGCATATATGCTCAACCACTGAGCCACACTGGCCCGGCAGAATAGCAAGCTTTGATTAACCAAATTCCTTGGTTAACCTCTGCCCATTCCCCACTCCCTTTCCCCCTGCAATTCATCAGTCTGTGCCATGCTTCCATGCCTCTGGACCTGTTTTGTTCGGCGTTTTATTTTGTTCATTAGATTCCACATACGAGTGAGATCACGTGATATTTGTTTCTCTGACTGGCTTATTTCGCTTAGCATAATGCTCTCCATGCTGTCTCAATGGGTCAAAGATCCTTCTTTTTTATAGCTGCATAGTATTCCATTGTGTAAATGTACCACGGCTTTTTTATCCACTCATCTACTGATGGGCACTTGGGCTGTTTCCAGATCTTAGCTATTGTGAATTATGCTGCTATGAACATAGGGGGTACATATATTCTTTCTGATTGGTGTTTCGGGATTCTTAGGATATATTTCTAGAAGTGGGATCACTGGGTCAAACAGAAGTTCAATTTTTTATTTTTTAAGAAAATTCCATACTGTTCTCCATAATGGCTTCACCAGTCTGCATTCCCACCAGCAGCGTACTAGGGTTCAATTTTATTTATTGCTAATAAGCCTATAAAATATAAATGTTTTTATTTACTCTGATTCTTACTTCCATTTGTTAAGTGGATCCTAAAAGAATAAATATAACCTTGCTCACCTATGAAGATACACATGTGCCAACACATTTAATCAAAACTTGCTATTCTGCCCAGCCGGTGTGGCTCAGTGGTTGAGCATCTACCTACGAACAGAGGTGGGCATAGTTCAATTCCCGGTCAGGCTTGATCCTCAGTGTGGGGCATGCAGGAAGCAGCCAATCAATGATTCTCTCTCATCATTGATGTTTCTATCTCTCTCTCCCACTCCCTTCCTCTCTGAAATCAATTAAAAAATATTTTTAAAAAAACTTTGCTATTCTGCATAAATATCAATTGCATTGCCCCGCTGGTATGGCTCAATGGTTGAGTGTTGACCTATGAACCAGGCAACTAGGGTTCAATTCCTGGCCAAGAGAATTGAAATAAAATATCAATTGAATTTTTATGTACTAACAATGAACACATGGAATCCAAACTTAAAAACATAATACCCTTTCTCAAAGTAGAAGAAATGACTTTTTAAAGCACATAATTTCTGAATTTGCCAAATTTTTTATTTAAATAGTATCACATAGGCAAAGTGGTATTGGAAATGATTTTGTGAAATAAAGTCTACTTAGGAATATTTGAACAATGTCCAAAAAAAACCCCATACTACCATTTACAATCACTCCAAAGAAAATTGCTTAGGTATCAGCTTAAGAAAACATGTACAGAATCTGTATGCTGAAAATTATAAAATGCTAATGAAAGAAATTACAGAAGACCTAAACTAATGTAGAGACTATTGTGTTCATGGATTAGAAGACTCAATATAAAGATGTCAATTCTCCCCAAACTGATTTATAGGTTTAGTGTAATTCCTATCAAAATCCCAGCAAGTTTTAAGTTCTAGAATGGTTAAAATGATACTAAGGCATATAGCTACAGTAAACAAGATGGTGTGATATAGATGGAGGGATAAATGCATATATCAGCAGGATAAAGGAGAAAACTCAAAATATAGACCCACACTTTTATTCAAGTTTTCTTCATTCTTATGTTAAAATATTACATCTGTCCTTGTCATTTTAATTCTACCTTGCCATCTTTTGGATGTTATAAGTATGCTAGTCTATTTTCTTCTATTTTTTGTTGTTGATATTTTTGTTTTATTTTTACATTTAATTCTAACCCATCCAGGATTTTTTTGTAGTGTCTGGTGTGAGATAGAAATCCAAGTTAGTTCTCTATACCAATAAATTGTACTCATTATGTTTATTAAATAATTATTCCTTTATCTGTTATTTGATTATTTTGACTTGTCATGGCTCAAGTTATCACAATGGTTTTTTTGTTTGTTTGTTTGGTTGGTTGGTTGGTTGGTTTTTTTTAAATCACAGTGTTTTAAATTTCTTTCCAAGATCTTTCCTATTCAGTTGATCAGTTTTCTGTTTTGGAGCCAATTACATAGTACCTTGATTGCCACAGCAATAATTTCACCCTTAACATTTGTAGAGAATGCAGAAATATTTGTAGGGATTTCTGGAGTTTTCTAGAATCACAGTTCTTCCTGGAATCACATACTTCCTGTATATCTCTCATTCACTTAATGTCTCAATTTTACAGAAGATTCAAATTTTATCACTTTACTCCATTTGCTCATTACTTGATAAAAAGTAGAAAGGAATAAAGCCAAACACTCAAAAGCTATAAGATGTTTGGTAGGTCTACTTACTAAGGACTTGCCCAAATGTAAGCCTTGCAGCATGCACAATTTGAAATCATACCTCAGGAAAATTAGAAATTACTAAACAAATTACTACACTATATGGTTCTGGTTTTCCTGGGAAAAGGCTAAACTGCAAATATTAAATTCATGAGTTATGAGTCCATTTTAAAATTTGGTGAATCAGCCCTAGCTGGTTTGACTTAGTGGATAGAGCATTGGCCTGTAGACTGAAGGGTACAGGGGTAAATTCCTGTTGGGCTCAATCCCCAGTAGGGGGCGTGCAGGAGGCAGCCGATGGATGATTCTCTCTCATCATTGGTGTTTCTATCTCTCTCCCCCTCTCCCTTCCTCTCTGAAATAAATAAAATCTGGTGAATCAAGTCCAGCATGGTTCCTTGGCTATCTTGGCTGCTCATCCTCTAAGCACTAATCCTTTGGACAGTCCTTTATTCAACTCTCTAAGCTCATGCCAATCTGGCCTGCTACTTATATAACCCCTCCTTTTTTAATTCACAGGGATAGCAGGCTTTATGACTGTGGTGTCCTATGGTCTTTACAAGTTAAAGAACAGAAGAAATCAGAAAATGTCCATTCATCTTATTCACATGAGAGTTGCTGCCCAAGGATTTGTTGTAGGAGCTGTGACTCTAGGTAACCTGCTTAATTTGTAGCTTGTGTTCAGCTACCTTTGAGAGTATTTTCATTTATTTTATTCATTCATAGTTGAAGATGAATATTGGGTCAAGATGACATAATGGTGGAAGTCTGGTAAGAAAAACAGTTCTTCACTTGGTTGAGGTTGCTGCCCTAATATAGGCTTACTTTCTTAAAATTTTAAACACTGAAAAAAACAACACCACAGTAGGCAGAAGGTACACATTTCCAGTTATAAAATAAGTAAGTCATGGAATGGAATGTACAGATTGGCAACTATAGCTAATAGCACTGTATTGCGTATCTGAAAGTTGCTAAGAGAGTAGATCTTAAAAGTTCTCATCACAAGGAAAAATGTCTGTAACTATGTATGGTGATGGATGTTAACTAGACTTATTGTGGTGATCATTTCACAATATATACAAATATAGAATCATTGTGTTGTACACCTGAAGTTAATGTAATGTTGTATGGCAATTATACATCCATTTTTAAAAACCCAGTGGAGAACTAGGTTATGGGCCCTGTTCGCCTCTATTATGAAAGCAGTGAACAGTTCATACCTACAACAGCTGAAAGCAGTAGTTATACACCTGCCTTTATTGCTCAGTTAAGAGCAGCAGTCATGGTTCCCAGGCGATTTGAACAACAGATATAATTACTAAAGTTTAACTGGGAAGAAAACATTTTTAGAGTCCACAAGTCTTAATATCCTTGTTCTCCTTTTATTCCAAGTTTGAGCAATAGGAAATCTTTTTTATTAGTCTATAAATTAAGCAATACTTACGCAGTCAAATCCAGAGAAATTATTTGGTTAATTCAGGTTATATCAACAGCTAAATCATATACTGTAGTTCTAAGAAAGAGTCCACTTTGGAACCTAAATTATCTTGATTTTTTGGGGTCTATATTCATGAGACCGAGGCACAATGTTCTTAGCTCCCCTCCAGGCTGTACAGAGTAGAATCAGCCTGAGAGTAAGTCTAGGACTATGGAGATAGGTGTGGGGCTTGCATATAGGGAGTTAAATGGCAATTATCTTATTACTATGAACTGTGATAAGGGGAGTCTTGAACAAAGTACAAAAAGAAACTTTACAAAGTTATAGTCCTCGTTTTTGTCCTTCCGCCAATATTTACTAGGCATTTTCTATTTGCAAGGCGCGGAGCGAGTCTATAGATGTGGGGGTAGGACTTGGTCCCTACCCTCACATACTGTTCGTCTCCTCAGGGAAAGAGACCAAGAACAGGAGAAGAAAATACAAAGTCATAGGTGCTATGGCGGAGGTAACACGGGTGCTTTGGGAGCACAGGCACAAAGGAGGGGCATTTGACTGGCGCTGAGAGTCCAAGAGGATGTAAACTGTATAATGAGCCAAGAAATGGAGGAATTCACTAGGCAGAAAAGGAGATGAGGAATTCACTAGGCAGAGAAGGAGATGAGGAATTCACTAGGCAGAGGAGTTGAGGAATTCACTAGGCAGAGGAGGAGATGAGGAATTCACTAGGCAGAGAAGGAGATGAGGAATTCACTAGGCAGAGGAAAAAGCAATGGCACTGGAACTTAGGGCTGGGTGTGTAGGCGAATCAGTGTTTGATGAGAGAAGCAGAACGACTAGTAGTAATATATAAGGTACTTACAGGGATTTGGACTGACTATATAATTGTGAAGCTCTTGCTTATGTATCAGGAGCTGGGCCACAAGATGAGCAAAAAACATGCTGTGGCAGTGCCTTCCAAGCAGAAAGAGACTGTGGCTGCTGCTCCGAATCTCCTGTAAATGCCTCGGGGGCAACAGGGCACGAAAGGAAAGGAATTCTTTCCTGGAAGTCATGCAGCCTTCAGGCCCCTCACAGGACCAGGAGCTAGGAATTAAAAGCCCTGGGCCCACCATTTTGTTTTCCCACGTTGTCCAGCACACTTAGAAGTAACCAACCGTATTATACTCCCGCTTCCACCAAGTGCTCTATGGAAGTAAACACTTGATCAGCAAACGCCGTGCTTTTTATAGGCATCTGATTAAGGGTATCTACAGGCGATAATTTCACAAAATCTTCTGCTAATGCATGCTAGCATCCTCTTTACCACTGTAAGAAATGGCCATTAATACCTGTAAGTCTACTCAGACCAGAGAACCAATTCCAGATAACCTGGAACCAACACAAAGAACCTATCCTCATGGTTATGTCTCTCTGGAAGCTGCTGATACCAAATTCTGTTTCAATCAAGGTTCAGTCAGAGAAGGAAAACTATTAGGGATGATATATAAAAAGGGATTTATTGTAGAGATATGATCTTAAGCAAATTCGGGAGCATGGACTGTTTAAAGTCCATGTTAGGCTTGTTGCTTGTGTTTCTAACGCTGGGGCCTGAGGTTAACAAGGCAGTAGTTGGGAAGGCAAAATAAACTGGAATCTGTAAGGATGAACTGGAGCCCGCCAAGACAGGGGGGAACTCGAGTCCGTCTCTTACTGACTCCAGCCCTGATCCCGGTGTGAGCTGTGGGAGAAGCGGCACCTCTCTCAGGGAGCTCATCCACCCCTGGCCTAGGGGCCGGATAAGCCGGGAGGAGATCCAGGTGAGCGGAAGGCACCGTGGGCCTGCTGCCCAACAGCAGCGAGGTGAGCCAGCGGACAAGCAACTGCACCTGGTGCCCTGCACCGAGCCCTCCAAGCGTAAACCGGACAGGGCAGCTGCTGCTTCAGCGTTCACCTTCTTGCCTCAAGGTCGCATGAGCCAAACTAACCCACAACTATGCAGGGAAGGGAACTCTGGAAAATATAGCGAAAGCTTAGTTAAATCTATATAAAACAAACCCCCAACAGATTTTTATGGTTGTGAGATGAGGAGTAACACGATGAAGCGAGCCAGTAAAGAATTTAAACACAGCGGAGTAACTTGGACAGAAAGATGCCTGCTTTATAGAAAGATCAGAAACAGGCAATATGGAACTGTTTGTTTAGGGCCACTAGATAAACAGTCCCACTATAAAGACAAGGAAGGAAACCATATCATAAACCTCAGAACAGTGGTTACCTGTAGAGAAGAGGACAATATGATCAGAAAGGGAGACCTGGGAGGCTTCTAGGATGCCTGCAATATTCTATTTCTTGTCCCATAATTACAGGTGTTCCCTCTACAACTACTTGTTAATCTGGTCACTTAAGCTGTATATACTGCTTTCTGTGTTTGTATATTTTAACATGAAAAACAAATGTTGAGGAAAATGATTAGAGATGATTTGCAATGGAGGGGAGGAAGTAAAGACAGTGAAGTAGGATGATGAGTTGGATCTGAATTAAGTGCAGTGGAAATAGAGAGGAGATGGCTTCTAGAAATACTGAGGACTCGGCAACAAAGTGATTGGAAAAAGAAAGGAAAGAGGAATCAAAGATGATCCTAGGTTTCTGGATTGAGCAACCAGAAGTAAGGGTTGCCTTTCATTAATATAAAGAGCAAAGAAGGAACCAGTTTGGTGGGAAGATGAGTGCATATTGGATAAAACAATAATAACACCTAATGACTGCTTATGATGTGCAAGCCACTCTGCTTTATATATTGTTCTCTCATTTAATCTTCAATAATACCTACTTTGACACCACCTGGTATGCAGCAATACAATTCAATACTGATGCTCACCACCTGGAACTCAGATCAATGCCAGAGGTTTAAGGGCTAGTTCCCAAAAATACTGCCCTTACTTCAGACACCAGCCTTTGGGGGTCCCCAGGGCATCTGCACTCCTGATAAACTGGCTACAAATTCAGGGGTCCCCAAGACTCCCTCAGGTTTATTTTACTAAAACAACTTACAGAATTCAGGAAAACAGTATACAGACAGTCCTCAGGTTACGTCGGACTTGACGTACGTCGTTTTTTGGTTACATCACCATCTCCCATTTATTTATTAAAAAAAAAGTTCCATCATTTCGACATATGTACATATGTGCTTTATGTTTTTTATTATTTATTTACCACAAGTAAAGGTCAGGAATTTTTATCTTTCTTTTAAACTATTTTTACTGTTTCACTTCATTACTGCTGTGTATGTGCTCCATGTGAGTGACGTAGGTGCTTATGTAGGTGGGTTCTGACTTACAGTGAAAATGGCATTATGTTGCGCCATAGGAACGGATCTCCTTACAATTGTAGTTTCATTATAAAGTATACAAATCAGGACCAGCCAATAGGGTAAGGTGTGGGAGGATTGAAAGCTCAAAGCTTCTGTGCTCTCTCCCTGTGGGATCAGGGCTTGTCACACTCCCAGAGTATCAATGTGTTTATCAATCAAGGAACTCGACTGAACTTCAGTGTGAAGAGCTTTTATTGGGGGCTTCATTATATAGGCACTAGAGGCCCGATGCATAAAATTCGTGCAAGGGGCTCAGCCCTTGCAGCCCCTCACAGCCCCAGCTTCGTCCAGAAGGTGGTCCAGATGGTCGTTCTGCTGTTCGGTCAATTAGCATATTAGCTCTTTATTATATAGGATGGTTGACTGAATCGCTGGCCACGTGACTGAGCTCAATCTCCAGTCCTACTCCCATCCCTGGTGGTCTAAGAACCCTGTGGTCACATGGTTGGTCTGACTAGCCACATCTTGAAGCTATCTAGGAGCCCATCGTGAGTCACTTAATTAGCATAAATTAAAGTATGCTCCAAGGGGCTCATGAATAACGGAGGCAATCCGTTACTTGGGAAATTCCAAGGATTTTAGATTTATACCAGGAATTCTGAACAAAGACAAGTCTTTATTAAACAATACTCTTTGAGGTAGGTACTATTATTATTCCATTTTACAGATAAGGAAACTGAGGTTTAGAGAGAATAAGTTACTTGTTTACAATCACATGGGAAATCTCCAGAGCCTGAACTTTTAATTTTATATTATAGTGACTGAGATGCCTATGAAAGATGTTTCCAAATTAGAGTACTCATACCCTATGAGACATATAAGGAGATCCATAGGGATATGGGAAGAAAATATTTTTATCTTAAAAATAAAAACTTTACCAATATATAGGCTGACCATGGGACATTTACTAGTATACTGTTTATAAACAAACTAGAGGCCTGGTGCACAAAAATTTGTGCACTTGGGGAGGGACCCCTCAGCCAGGCCTGTGCCCTCTTGCAGTCTGGGACCCCTCGGGGGATGACCACCTGCTGGCTTAGGCCTG